TACACTGACCTTTCAGTTAGACATCTAGTGCTTATCCTACAGCACCACACCAGGACTCCATAAAACTAGGATTGTTGTTGTTGTTATGTGCTGTGGAGTCAGTTCCGACTCTTAGCAAGCCTGTGCAGGGTTTCCAAGGCTGTAAATCTTTACGGGAGCAGAAAGCCTCATCTTTCTTCCGCGGAACAGCTGGTAGTTTCGAACTGCTGACCTTGCGATTCGCAGCCCAATTCGTAACCACTACGCTAAAAATATGATAAAGATTCATTAATTAATATTAGTGAGATGGTTTGTCTTTTATCTCTCACTTTATTTATCATTTGTTTGTATATTATAATAAAAAATTGTATAGCTGTTTGACCTGGAAATCTTCCCTAGTTAAGAAAGAAAGCACCTATTTAATCAAATATTGCTTATGCAGAATTAGTTATCATATTAAGTGACAAACTCCTACACTCAAAAGAGTTGAGTGATGTTCAACTATTTTGGAGGTACCATGTGATCCAGAACAAATAGTATTGAAAGAAGATGTCCAAGTTTTATTGAAGGCATAGGCATAAAACAAGCCTCCAGGAATTAACAGACTTCCAACAAAGATGTTTCAACATATGGATGTAATGATGGAAGGACTTATTTATCTATCAAGAAATTTGGATGACAGCTTCCTGGCCAACTGACTCTAAGAAATCCATATTTGTGAGCATTCCAAAGAAAGATGATCCAACAGAATGCTAAATTATTTAACAATGTCATTAATATCACACATAAGTAAAATTGCTAAAGATAATTTTTAAATGGTTGCAAAATTGGCAGTGAACTGTCAGAAATTTAAGCCAGATTTAGGAGAGAATGTGAAACAAGCAATATCATGGCTGATGTCTGATGGATCTTTACTGAAAGCAGAAGATACCAGAAAGGTGTCCCTGTGTTTTGTTCACTTTTCAAAGACATTTAACTGTATGGGTTAAAAGGACAACACTGCAAAAAATAGGGATTTCAGAACACTTCATTGTGCTTTTGCAGAGTTTATACATAGACCAAGAACTAGTTGTTCCAACAGAACAAGAGGGTATTGTATGATTTAGAGGTTGTATCTTTCCATCATAATTATTGGATATTTGTGCTGATAAAATAATCCAAGAAGCTAGACTATATGAATAACATGGCACCAGAACTGGTGAGAGACTCTTTAACAGATTATGATATGTAGATGACACAATTTTGCTTGCTGAAATCTAAGAGAACAAAGACACTTACTGATGAAGATCAAAGACGACAGCCTTCAATATGGATTACACCTCAGTTTAAAAAACTTGTTTTTAATCCTCACAACTGCACCAATAAGCAAAATTATTAAAATATTAAAGTTATCAAGGATTTCATTTTACTTGGATCCATGATTAATATCATGGAAGCAGCATCAAGAAAGTAAACAATGGATTGCATTAGGCAAATCTACTCCAAATGACCTCTAAAGAGCAAAGTTGTCACTTTGAGGATTGAGGTGTGCCTGACTTAAGCCTTGGTGTGTTTAATCACCTCATATACATGAGAAGGACAATGCATAAGAAAGACTGAAGACATCTTTGAATTTGGGTATTGATGAAGAATATTGACTATACCATGATTTCTTGAAGAATGAACACATTTGTCTTAGAAGAATTACATCCAGAATTCCTTAGAAGCAAGATGGTGAGACTTTGTCTCACATACTTTGGGTGTGTTATCTAGAAGGACCAGTCCCTGGAAAAAGTCATGCTTTCTAAAGTAGAGGGTCAGTGAAAGGACGATGCCCCTCAAGGAGACGGATTGGCATAGTGATGGCAGTGATGGCCTCACATATGGAAAGGATTGTGAGGATGTGCAGGACTAGACAGTTGTATATGGGGTCACTGGGAGTCAGAACTGACTCAATGGCATCTAAAATAACAGCATAAGAAAGAATGTCCTCTTCCTAAGGGTTTTTATGATCTGGATTCTGGAGACTTTGCTCTGTTTAAGAAAAACAGAGAAAACTATCACTATAAATTTGCTAAAAACAATACTTCTTCCTAAAACAAAAAAAAAAAAAAAGAGAGAGAGAGAGAGATGCTTACGTTTTCTCCATATTTAACTAGAAATTTTGTGGTTTATAGAACTTTGCTTTTAAGTTTTTATTCTCTAAAAGCTACCTGAAAATGTAATTTTAGTGTCAGAGAATTAGCATTCTAAAGAACTTTACAAAGTTTTTCAAAATGAATTATTCTGGAGAATAATTATTCTAAATTTTATGTCTTTAAATATTTGACTGTTAATTTGTCTGAAAACAAAAGTGTAGGAGATGCTAGCCCCCGTCCCATCTCCCTACCCTCTCCTACACCACTTATAAATTAACTACTTGGTTGAGTTTAACCACTAGAGGGCCCCAATGAGAACCCCCATCTCCAGCTTTGAGAAAGGTGCTTTTCATTTTAAGAATTTAAATCTCTCTTAATACTGATTCTAAGAAAGCACAATTTTTGCTTATTTGGATGAGGGGAGACTTAAGTGAACATTTGCATAATATCCTTACTTTTCTACATGTGGTTTTATTATGTCCTTTAGAGAAAAGATTCTTCTGTGTTTACATCCTTTAAAAGTAGGTCGTGGTTGTGGTGGTTATGTGCCATAGAGTCAGTTCCAACTCATAGCGACCCTGTGTAGGGTTTCTGAGGCTGTAAATCTTTACAAGAGCAGAAAGCTCATCTTTCTCCCTTGGAACAGTTGGTAGTTTTGAACTACTGACCTTGAGGTTAGCAGCTCAACTCATAGCCATTACACTACCAGAGATCCTTTTAAAAGTGGGTTGTTTTTGTTGTGAAGTGCCGTCGAGTCGGTTCTGATTCATAAGAATCCTGTATAGGGTTTACAAGGAGCAGCTGGTGAGCTTGAACTACCAACCTTGCAGTTCAAATGGCTTTGCAGTCTGGCGCATTAAACTACAGTGACACACTAGGACTCCTTAAAAGTGGGTAGTCCCATGTGTAGCTTGCCATTTTTGTGACCTGAGGCCTATTTACCTTAAATTTAGGCTTGCACAGAAGTGTATGATGGCAAAAGGAATAAATTTTGAACAAGATCATCATCAGAGTACTGGCCTTCCCTGTTCTATACTTTCTTCTCTTGAGAGCATTGGCAGTCTTTTCTACTTTCAGGCTTCATACTTATTTCTTTCCAGCATCCTCTGCAACACTGATTTCAAATCCTGAATATGAAGATTGGAAATTGACTTCAGAGGTACTGAAACAAAATCATCAAATCTTTAGCTAAGGGAGCAAAGCAATCATTGGAATTCTAGATACAAACCAAGACAAGAGAGCACATGGGAAGAAAAGGATGAAAGGTGATTACCATTTAATAAGTACTTTCTGTTTGCTAGGCAATATGCTATGTAGTATAATAATCCAAGAAGCTGGGTTATATGAAGAAAAATGTGGCATACGGATTGGAGGAAGCCTCATTAACAACCTGTAATATGCAGATGATACTACCTTGCTTGCTGAAAGTGAAGAAGACTTAAAATATTTACTGATGAAGATCAAAGACCAAAGCCTTCGGTATGGATTGCATCTCAATGTCAAGAAAACAAAACTCCTCACCACTGGACCAATAAACAAAATTCATATCAAGGGAGAAAAGACTGAAGTTGTCAAGGACTTCATTCTTCTTGGATCAACTATGAACACTCATGGAAACAGCAGTCAAGAAATCAAGCGATGTATTGCATTGATTTCTTGCAAGTCTGTTGCACAAGACTGTTTTAAAGTATTGAAGAGCAAAGATGTCAGCTTGAAGACTAAGGTGCGCCTAACCGAAGCCACGGTATTTTCAATAACCTCATATGCATGCGGAAGCTGGACAGTGAATAAGGAAGACTGTAGAAGAATTGAGGAGAATGTTGAAAGTGCCATGGGCTGCCAAAAGTACCAACAGATCTATGTTGGAAGAAGGGTAGCCAGAGTGCTCCTTGGAGGCCAGGATGACCAAAGTTCATCTCTCATACTTCGGACATATTGTCAAGAGGGACCAGTCGCTGGAGAAGGATATCATGTTTGGTAGGGTGGAGGGTCAGAGAAAAAGAGGAAGGCCCCAATGAGGTGGATTGGCCAAGTGGTATCATCGATGGATTCAAGTGTGGCAACAGTAGTGAGGTTGGCCCAGGATCGGGCAGTGTTTCATTCTGCTGTGCCTAAAGTCGCTATGAGTCAGTACCAACTCGATGACACCTAACAACAACAACAATACTATGCATTTTACATGCATTGTCTTGTTAAACCCACTCAAGGACTTTGAGATATTGTCAGTACTCTTGTTATTATTTCTATTTTGTTGATGAGAAAACTGAGCCTTAGATTAAACAGGATTATTTAAATTTGGTAGCATAGTGGTTACGAATCGGGCTACTAATCTCACAGTCAGCAGTTTGAAACTGCCAGCTGTTCCGCAGGAGAAAGATGAGGCTTTCTGCTCCCATAAAGATTTATAGCATAGGAAACCCTGTACAGGGTCGCTGTGAGTCGGAACCGACTCCACGGCACATAACAACAACAACAACAACAACAACAAATCTTCACTACTGCATTAGTCCACTTAGCATATCAAATGGAAAAAGAATTTCTAGGATCTGTCTTTAGAATCTGCTTATTTTAAAAAAAACAATCTTATCTATAACTCCCTTCCTTATGGAGTCAAGCTTTGATGTCTTACCTCTGTGGGGAAAACAAATGCACACACATACTTTTTTTTTTTTTTTTTTTTTTAAATTTAAGCACTTAACTCATTAATTCATATCTCTGACACTTAGGAGTAAATATATATTACATTCTTAAACATTTTAGTTGTAGAAGTCTTCCATAACTATGATGCTAACAACTTATGTTAAGTCCATCTGAAGTCATTTGCTTGCCATATGATTGATTCCTTTTTAAACTGTATTTATTAAGTTAATGTTTATACTTTAAATTTTTTCTCTCCCATTTTAGGGCCAAACAGGTGACCCTGGACCCCAAGGACCAATTGGCCTTCCAGGACCAGAGGTAAAATATGGATTGCTGTCATTAAGTGCCATCGAATCGGTTCAGAATCATAATGACTCTGTATAGGTTTTCAAAGAGCAACTGGTGAGTTTGAACTGCTGACCCTGTGGTTAGCAATTCAGTGCTTAGCCTACAGGGCCACACCAGGTGAAAAAATAATAAATTTGACACACAAAAAATGTGTACATGAAACTTGATTGCTAAAACATGTTTTTACACAGTAGAATTAATGAAGTTTTTTTTTACATTTATTGCTGTTAAATATAGTCAAGTCAGTTCAGACTCATAGTGACTCTGTATAGCGTTTCAAAGGAGCTCCTAGTGAGTTTGAACCACTGACCTTGCGGTTCAAACCAACCTTGTGGTTGAGTACTGATCCTATAGCTCCACACTAGAGCATACAATAGTTTGGCTATTTTTCTGTTATGTCAGGAAACAGAAAAGAGTATTAGCTACATTTTAGACCTGATTAGATCACAACTGATTTATTTGCAATCTCCAACTAGTAATAGCACATGCTTCATGTTTCAAATCAAATCTTAAGACGTAAACTCCACACCATTTTTGATGTAAAATGTTTCCAACTCTTAGTATAAATATATACTTATATAATTGGATATCATTCTCTAGAATAAATATGATTATGTTTGCTACACATATATCATATTTGTATATTCTTTAAAATTTTTACTTTGGCTTAATGCTTGATTTAGAGCACTTCTCTTTTCTGGAAATCTGAATGAAGCATACAATTCTAAGATGAAATATTTGGATTCTTTTTGAATCATAGTATGGAGTCCTGGTGTGACACTGTGAGCTAATGCATCAGGTTGCAAAGTTGTTTGAACTACAGGGTTGGTGGTTCAAGTTCACCAGCTGCTCCTTGGAAACCCTATACAGGGTCGCTATGGATCAGAATCGACTTGACGGCACTTCACAACAACAAAAACCACCAGATCAGCTTTCTGCACCCATAAAGATTTATAGCTTCAGAAACTCTATAATGGCTTTTTATGAGTTGCAATTCAATCAGTGGCATTGGAGTTTGGTTAATTAATGATCGTATGAAGATAAACTTTCTGGAGCTCACTTTAGTTCAGGAATGCAAGCTAACTTATCTATGCATATACATATATAAATATGTAAACATATTTAATTCAGAAGCAGAGGTGCAGCAGTAAAGCCTAGAAAAATACATTTAATCTCAGAATAGCTTCTTTAATCAGAGCAGTAAAATCCCCATCGGGTCAGAGGAGTGCTGGTGTGGTGCTATAGGATAAGTACTGTACTACTAAATGCAAGGTCAGTAATTCAAATGCACCAGCCACTCCTCAGAAACCCTATCCAGGGTCAGTGAGTCGGAACTGACTCAACAGTACTTAACAACAACATCAGAGCAGTGGGCATTATTTCTAGAAATAGCACTGTACTCATAACTTTTTCCTCTCTTTAGAAACTATAAAATCTACCTCTTACTCCAGCTGTCTTTCAGGGTTGACTGAATTCTGTAGCAAATTTCCATTCTTCCTTATTGCATAATTTAAAAGCACATTAGAAATTGATAGCACAAAAATCAACAAAAAAATTAATAGGTAAAAAAAAATAATGTATTGATGTCCTCATTCATAAAAAAGAAAAATAAACAGGTCAATACAAATTGATTTCTTTATATGAGCATGATTTTATGGCACTATTGGATAAGCACTGGTCTGCTAACCACCAGGTTAGCTTTCTGCTTCCATAAAGATTTTAGCCTCAGAAACTCTATACTGGGTTTCTATGAGTTGGAATTCAATCAGTGGCATTGGAGTTTGGTTAAATAATGTTATTTACCTGCCTTCTCACACTGATAATACAGAGCCTAATTAACCTTGATTATCTTTAAATGTTATTATTGTGGAAATGAATTATTGTATCATAACTACAATTACAAATGACACAGATGGTATGTGTCTTGGTGATGGTGGTTATGTACCGTGGAGTCAGTTCTGACTCATAGTGAGCAACCCTGTACAGGGTTTCTAAGGCTGTAAATCTTTATGGAAACAGAAAGCCTCATCTTTCTCCTACTGAACAGCTGGTAGTTTCGAACTGCTGACTTTGCGGTTTTCTCAGCCTGATTCGTAACCACTATGCTACCAGAGCTCCTTAGTATGTGTCTTAGGAAAGACCATTACCTTCATGCTATCAATGTGGTTTTACATAATTTTATTTCCTCTCATGATATCCAGGTTTAAAGGTCCATGGGCCTTGTTTTGGTTCATTTCTTAGATGTACTTCTTGAGACTTTATTCAGCAAGCAATGATCAAAGTTGTTTAAACAAGGAAATGGAATTATCAGATTTTTGTTTTGGATTTACGTCTGGTAACAGAAGGAAGAGCAAATGAGAAGAAATGGGGGAGAAGAAGACCAGTTAAAGTCCTCTTAGAAAGATAATGCAGGCAGTCCAAGGGTTAATGATAAGGGCCTAAACCAAGATAAAGCCTATGAAAGCAGAGAGAACAAGATGATTTCAAGGGATACTTTTTGTTGTTGTTGTTGTTAGGTCCCATCAGGTCACTTTCCACTCATAGTGACCCTAAGTACAATAGAACAAAGCACTGACTGGTCCTTCACCATCCTCACGATTGTTACACTTGAACTCATTGATGCTGCCACTTTGCCAATCCATCATGGGGGACTACTTCTATTTTGCTGCCCCTCCACTTTACCAAGCATGATGTCCTTTCTCTTGGGGTAGATCCCTCCTGATAACATGTCTGAAGCATGAGTAATGAATTCTCTCCATTCTGGCTTCTAAGGAGCATTCTGTCTGTACCTCTTTCAGCATAGATTTGTTCTTCTGGCAATCCATGGTACTATAAATATTCTTCTCCAACACCACAATCCAAATGCATCGATTTTTATATGTTCTTCCTTATTTATTGTCCAGCAATCACATATATATGAGGTGATTTTAAATACCATGACTCCCCCCTCTAAGACTGAAACACAAAGGGAATACATGAGCTGGTGACCACATTGGTCTTCTGGTAAGTAGAAGAGGGGGAAAGGCAGTAATGAAGAAATGAGCTGTGTTCAACCACATTCCATAGATTCCCATTGACCTGGAGATGAGAGAGAGAAGAGGAAGGGCTGGTTGGTCCAAAGTGGGGTGAGACCTGTGGACACCTGAGCCCATGGACAAGGACATAGCCACAGAGGGCTAGAGCTGAGAGTGAAGCATCCAGCAGATATGAAGTGAGGGGAGACACACAAGAACACCCAAACTTACAGATAGTATTCATTTGACCTAGCCTTGATGGCTTAATAATCAGGACTCAACTAGAAGATGATTAAAAACAAAAACAAAAAAACAATTTTTGATAAAGGAAACAAGTGTAAATTGCTACAATTTTATGAACTTGACCTATACTCATGGATGTTGTTGTTGTTGTTAAATGCCATCGAGTTGGTTCCAACTCAAAGAAACCTTGTATAGGGTTTCCAAGGAGCAGCTAGCGAGCTTGAACCGCCAACCTTGCAGTTCAAACGGCTTTGCAGTCTGGTGCATTAACCCACAGTGCCACACCAGGACTCATGGATGTAGTAGCTCAAGATACCAGCTGAGAGGGGAGGAGTCTTCACATAAAATATCAATCCCTTCTGTAGATAGGATCAGGCAAATTAGACATTTGCTACCTAAAATAAGGCAGTGATAAAGGCTCTAAGTGACTGGCTTACAAGGTTTCAAGAGGGAGTTTAGTTTAAGAGTGTGCAGGAAAAGATAGAGTCCTCACTGAATAGTTTTCATCTTGTCTAGATGGGTCTGGTAAAAAGAGATGGGGTTAAGATTCTTATGATTCAATAGTGAGTAATTGTTATCATGACTAATTGTGATTGTCACAATTGTAAAGGTAGAAGTTTCGTAACAAAAATAGGGGTGTAGTTACTCTTACAGCCCAGAAACAGAGGACCCTAGGACCATCAAGGGAGAAGAGCACAAGTGGAATGCAGGACTTTATCCAGAGAAGCAGTGACACATAAGATGGAGGCAGAGATGAGGACATGGAGAGAAGGAGCAGCTGAGGACTCCAGACTCATCAAAAGAGAGGGACTAAAAGATGGCAGGAGACAAACTTATGGAATGTGACCTTTGGTGGTTTAAATTATTATATATGCCTGATTGTTTCAAAAAAGCGAAAATGAATAGCGAGACCTACTGATAACTAATGGTACATGTAGGGGATTACAACCATTGAAATAGAACAAAGTGTATGATTTGTTGAATGTAAAACTGGTGATCTACCCTATAAACTTTCATTCAATTCATAGTAAAAACGTAAAAAACAAAAAAACCCCATGACTTAGGTCCAACAAACCTTTGTCCTCAAACTGATTCATTGCTCTTGAACAATTTGAAGAGGACTTTTGAAGTAGATTTGCGTAATGCAATGAATTGTTTGATTTCGTGGCTGCTCTTTCCATGAATGTTGATGGTGGATACAAGCAAAATTAAGTCATTCACAACTTTAAACTGTCCAAAATTAAAAAAGAGAAATTCAGCTCTCTCATATATATGTTGTTGTTATGTACTGCAGAGTCGGTTGCGACTCATAGCAACCCTGTACAGGGTTTCTGAGGCTGTAAATCTTTACTGGAGCAGAAAGCCTCAACTTTCTCCCATGGAACAGCTGGTAGTTAGACCCTGAGGTTAGCAGCCCAATTTGTAACCACTACACTACCAGAGCTCCTACACACACACACACATATATATATGTATATATTACTGAAAAGAAAGAAATTCATGGTATGTAGGTCTGTCAGTGGATTGGATGAGATCTAGTTACCTGTTTCTGTGAACATTTTTGCTAATTATTGGATGATGTTTTTGTTAAGTGCCATCAAATTATAACCAACTATGCTGCAGTGTAGTCCTGGTGTGGTGCTGTGGATTAATGTGCTAGACTGCAAGGTTGGTTTCACCAGCTGTTCCTCAGAAACCCTATACAGGGTCACT